CGCAAATACAGAGCTTTACTGAAAGCATACAGAAGTAGCACTCGCTTATCCCACTGGAATTGCAGTTAAAATGAACATTGGCTGAAGTGCTGGATGCATCAGCCACCACAGTAAGGGGAGGGGATGACAATGAGGGCAGCGGATGTAACCTGCACAAGTAACTGCCAAGACAAGCCCTTCTGACCTTATTTTGATAAACTCCCATATGCATATTTTTCACCAGATAAATTCAGGTTTCTCCTGAAAAAATATCTATTCCACTGATAATGGAACGGTAAGTTTGTGACACACATTGCTAAGTGGGTTCTACAGAGTGGAGCTTTCTCAGTTGCTCAGGGAAGATTGTCTGAGTAAGCCAACTTGGAAATAGAAATTTTAAAAGTATTTTATTAAAAATAAAATATCGTGACTTCTATGAGCAAATTTCTGGAAACATTATCTTTTTTTAATGTGTGTTTTTTTGTGGCAGCTGCAGAAAAAAACTGTAGTATTACCACAATGTTATGGTCACTCTTCAACTTTTCTGGTAAGTTTTATCTCCTTATGTTCAAAAATGTACAAATTTTATCTTTCCAGGATATACAGCTCTTATTTCAAATTAGAAAAACTGTTAAAGACTTCATTGTTTTTTTTTTGTAGTCTGAACATTCAGCTATGGTTGTGTCATTTCTGTGTTGGTTTAGATCAAACATTTTTCCCAAGTAACTGAGAAAGTGACACTGTAAAAAACACTTAGCAACAAGTGTAGCAAATTACATATCCTTTACTTTCCCAGCCAGAGTGTACCTGCACTTGGACACAGTAATGATGCACAGCATTATTCAAATTAGTTTAACCATTTCAGGTCAGTACTAAATGCAGCTCTTTGCATTTTTTCAGAGCACTAAGACAAAACCTGTTGGTTACCCTACAGGTGTGGGCCTTAACTTCCCCAACTTCTCTCTTGAAGAATTACTAAAATTTGCTACAGTCATTTCCTGGGACTTAGAGATATCCAGAGAGACTTGGGACTTTTTTTTTTTTTTTTTTTTTGTAAAGTAGAATTAAAATATCATAAGACTAGAACAGCATACTGCCAAGAAAATGACTGAATGCTATTGTTCATAATTCACCTTTTGAAATAACCTCATTATCTCCATGAAGTTTAAATATTCTGAACTATCTGAGTTCAGAAATTTGTGTTTGAAAAATAATGGTACTTGAACTCTATTATTCTAAGATACACATTGGCCATGCACCTACCTTTCCTAAGAATTAAAAGCTTGGTATTAAACAGGTTAGAAATGTCAGACAAAAAGTTTGCCAGATGATTACCACATCTACTTACCATACTAAGAACAGCTAGAGAAAGAATGCAAAAGGAACTCATAGGTGGGAGTCAGCAGAAGACTTGGCAGCCCTTACGAGACTTCTGCACCAAGTAATTACACACGCCACTGGTCTAAGATCCATCATTATATCCTCTTTTATGCATTGTAACTCACATTTCCTTGGTAATTGTCATTACCAATTCACTTCAATAGAGGGCAAAAGAGACTGAAGTTGTCATCTCAGACTAGAGGCTGCATGCAAGAGTGAGAATTAAGAAATCTGTGAGGATTACATGCAATTGGAAACATAACTGAGGTAAAAGAAAAATACTAGAGTTGTACTGAATTTGGGCAATTTAATTTCCCTTAATGCTTCACTGCTTTCCCTATCTGTGATTCAGACTGAAATAAACACAAGAGCTTGATGAAACAAAATCATCTCAAAACCCTTCACAGTCATTTCTCTCTAGGCTTGAAAAGATTGCAAGCACCAACTTAACAATACAGGAAAAATATATGGTGTGGTGAACTGGAAGAAGTTTCTTCTACATTTTCTTTTACTGACTGTTAATGCAGCAAATTTGTGAATAATTCAGTGGACTTAAGGGAATTTCTTGTGGGGAAATACCATTTTATTAAGTATATATAATATTTATATATGTGTTATTTATTATTTCTTTAGTTAGTTTTTATCTTCTCTCTGATTTTGTTCTTCCATTATAGCAGGGGCTTTGCATTTCAAATGATCTCTTTTCTGTTACTGTGTTTCAAAGTTTCAGTAATGGTGTAAAAGTCCCCTGCTTTCAGACACAAAGGCACAATATCCCAGCAGTTATTAAAAAGTCTAATGTTTTATGAAATGTGAAATAATAGACTTTGTTTGGTCCCTGGGATAATTATTTCTTTCATTCCAACTGAGAATGCAGAATAGAAAGACAGCTCTGTTCTCTGCTCTGCAATGAATCCCACAGTGATGAACCACTCTAACTCCTGCATCCTTAAAGAAATCCTCACACAGTGATACTTGTCTCCTGCTGTTTTTCCCAAATTTCATGTGCACTGATACAATTTTCCATAGTGGCCTTAATATCTTTCAATAATTGATAGCTTCCCCACAAAACTCCCTCCAAGGTTTGTTTTTTTTTTTTTTTTTTTGGAGCACATCTGACCTACCAGTCCTCCAAATCTTCTGACTGTTTTCTTTCTACATGCTCATGAACTTTATTTTGCTAGGCCTATGGCTTAGGCCATATGAATTTTGTCCCCCAGCAGTTTGCTGATACCAAGAAAAAGACTCATATTCAAAATTATCTTGAAAAATGAGAACAAACTGATCAAATGAGGAAATGTTATAAAAACAAGGATAAAAATGTCCACTTTGGAATAGAAAATCAACTACAGAAATACAAAATGGGAAACTGCCTGACAAAGAGCTCAGCTGCAGAAATTGATCTAAGACTTATTGCAGAGTGCAATAGAAATATGAGTTGACAACTGTGAAAAGACAAAAATTAAAATTGTTGCATGTTAGAAGGAAAATCATGTCCAAAATGGTACAGCAATAGTATTCACTGTGGGTGAGTTCTTACTTGGAATACAGTATCTGTTGCTGAGCACAGTACATCAAAATAAAGGGTGAGGCAATGAAACAAAGTGTACAGAGGTATTGACAGGTAGTAGAAATATTAAGAGGGCAGAAATGAAGGATGAGTGGATGTAACTGCATAAGCATGATAACAATGGACTATATTCAATTTAAAAATGAACCATATTCATATTAAAGGAAGGGCATAGTCCCCAACAGAAAGGGGGACTGTTTCCTGCATTTACCATTCCAGTCAAACCAGAACACAGATTGCCTGCCAGCAGCAGACTCTACCTCTAACAAAAGAAAGTAATATCACATCACATCTCATACACCATTCCTTTTATTTCTAGCCCATTCTATAACACAGACTCTGGCCTTAAGGAACTCAGACCAGACTTACCTAAAATTTATGGAGGTGGAAATAAGCAGAAGTTCTGATACAAAAGAATCATGTCATAGTGATTTTTGGTTCTTGGGTACAAAACACCTGTCCAAAAATTAGTTTATCATTGCTCAGGGGAGATGATGAGGACCTGATACCTGGCATCCCTTCACAGAATCACAGAACTACAGAATGGCTGAGGTTGGAAGTGACCTCTGCAGGTCAACTTGTCCATGCCCCTTGCTACAGGAAGACGAGCTGTACTGTGTCCAGGTAACTTTTGAGTATCTCCAAGGATGGAGCTCCATGGCCCCCTGGTCCTCTGTGTTGTACACAAGTGACCCTGCCCAGACCACCTGAACACTTGCTTGTTGTTCTTGTAATTGTGTGGATGTAAGAGTGTAAAGGAATGCAATCACTGAGAAAAGGACTGTGAGTGGGTAAAGCCAATGTACTTAAAAGATTTTGTATAATGATATCACCTTCTCCTAGCGTAGATTCTCACACTGCATTTTTTACAGTAACTTGTAACAGAGAGAAAAGCACAGACAGTGATATGTGCTGGAAGGATGCAAGACCTGGATTTGTGTAATCTGGATGAGAAAAGCTTTGGAGGCATTAAGGTGATAGTTTTCCACATGTAATATGTCATTATCAAGAAAACAACAACCAGCTGTTCTCAGAGATGCTGGGAGAAGGACAAGAAGAAAACTTCAAGTGCTGTAAAATTATTTTGGCTGCGTATCAACAGGAGTGAAACTGGAGGCCTCACGGACTCCCCACCAGAGAATGTGAAGCACGTGATGGCAAATATTTGTCACCAGTGTCTGGATATGTTCAAACCTGCCCTTCTGCTGGGGGCTGGACCAGAGCAGTGACTGACAGCAAGCTTCTGATGCTCAGTGCCAGAGCTCCTGGTGCCAGCCCAGATCCACGCCAGTTAAAGACTTGGTGCCTGCGCCAGAATTTTGTCACTACTGAGCTAAACAATCTCTTTTACTCTCTTCCTGACCTATATTGTTACAGTTGCTATGAAACCCTTACCCATGGAAGCAATTTTTCCACTGGCTCCATGGACTGTCTCTGTTTCTCACTACAAGGAAGTTTTATTTCTTCAATAAAATTGAATACAGTCATGCTTGAGCTGGGGTGGGGATTAGTTTGCCTAACTTTTTCATTTCAGATGACTTTTGAAAAACTTGGCTAGAGTTAACCCATAATTCTTTGAGTGGATTTTTGCTATTATCCATCTGACAAAGAGATGGCAGCAGGGTGGTGCTGTTGCGTTTTTGTCTTCATTTACTTTTTTTTTTAATAATCTGTTTTTCAGGAGTTCCGCCCCCGGGGCTGGCGGGGCTCGGGGCGGGCTTGCTCCCCGGCGGCAGGGGAGCGGGCGCGGGGCACCGCAACTTCGGCAAGATGAATGTGGAGAACCAGGATGTGCTGCTGGATCTGGAGGGGGAGGAGGAGGAGGAAGAGGAGGAAGATGATGATAATGATGATGGGGAGATCGGTGAGTAGGAGGCTGGCGCGGGGAGGGTTCCCCCGGGACAGCGGGCTCATCGCCGGGCGGCTGTGGCTCGGCGGGGCCGCAGCCTCGGGGAGCGCCTGGCGGGGCGTGCCGCGGGCGGGGAGCGCACCTGGCGGCACACAGGGAGCCCGCACCGCCGCTCGCTCCTGCCGCTAAAACTGCTGAGGATTTTTCCGCGGAAAATACGGGATGTCTTTGTCCCTGCTGGCGGGTGTGCGCCAGGTGTGGTTGCCTTATGGAGCGCCGTGGCGATGGTCCTGCTTCCGTAGCATCGGCACGGCTCAGTGGGCGAGAAGCACCCAAAACTTTGCCTGTTCCTTTCCCTGTGACCTGAGGGAAACGCGTGAGAGGGGGCAGAAGCAGCGCTTTGCAGGGGGCGCGATGCCGGAGACCTTTGGTGTGGCGGTGATCTCGCAGCACGGGCACAGCCCGGGTCCCGGTACCTTGGTGCTTAGGAAAATACAAACGTGCCATCGCCTCCTGCCGCCCCGGCGCTCGCAGCATCCCTTTTCTCCCCGCGCTGCCTGACTGGCGTGCCTTGGCTTCACACCGGGCTAAAGAGAGGGGTAATCACGGAACGGCTTGGGATGGAGAGACCTTGAAGATCACCCAGTTCCAGCACAACTGCCATAGGCAGGGACAACTTCCAGCAGACCGCGTTGCTCATAGCTCCATCCTAGCTGGCCTTAAACACAATCAGGGAAGAGGCATCCACAGCTTCTCTGGGCAGCTTCTTCCAGTGCCTCACCGAGTAACAAAACTGAGCTTCTGTAGCTTAGGTGTTTTAGCAAAACTACACATAGAAATATTTTCATCTGGTACAAAGTAAAAAAACAAATAGCTATGCATTTTCCAACATACATGCTTTTCATGTGAATTTTAAACACAATATTCCCCTTAGTTTTTAAGGTATCTGCAAAACTCAGCTCTGTAATCTATGAAATTGAACATTCAGGTGTTGAAGGCTGAATGAAGCTTACAAAATCTTTATGTTCTGTAAATACTGGGAGAAATCTTTATGCTGGGAGCAGGAGGTAAATCCTCTACCTGTATTTTTAGTAGGATCAGGTTAAAAAAAAACCCCACACTTTGTTAAAGCCTGGTTTTGAAGTGCTCTTTTGTTTAACTTTGCTATTATTGGATTATATTTTCATTCATTAAATGTGAAAATGGGAAGCATGTAACCAAGGTAACAATGATGTCCCTGGAGAGTATCCAAGTGCACAAATCTCACGTCACCATCCTAAACCAAGCTGTACCTTGACTGTAACCTGCCCTCTTCCCCTCATGTGTGAAACAAGATCTCACCAGCCAGGACCACATTTAGGGGAGGACCTGCAAGAAAAGGGGGCAGCTGAATATTACACAATACAGGTATGTAAAAATGTTACTGCATCTGTGTGCCAGGCACATCAAAACCATGATGTGTCTGCAAATGAGTCATCTTGGAGTGAACACTCCTGGCTGGGAGCGACGTAACTCACTCTCTCCCCATAACCTCCCGGAGTGTGAAACCTGACAAGCAGTCACAGCAGTGAGTAAGGCACGTTCTTAGATGGTCAGAGGCAGATTGGATGTGTCACAGGGCAGCACACCAGGTTTCTAACTTAGGACACAAAAGAATAGATCTTGCTATGCATCGTTATCCCCCCATCATATTGCTCTCCTTCTCTGGTTCAGTTCTGTGAGTCCTTCGTAATCTGAATGAGAAAAATGCACAGTGTCAGATGGTGCAGATAACAATAATACCAGTGAGGCATTATCAACAGGGCAAAAGCAGTAGCTTCAGTTCTGATGGTTTCATGCATGCCTTTGCAGACCACTTCTGTCTTTAAGCAGACTATGAGAGAAGGTCTTTGCCAAGCAGAGCTGATTCAAAACTCTGCAATTAAATTTCTGAACTAAGTTTTTGCTGAAAGTGCTTGCACTTAGACTTGCTGTAATACCAGGCCCTGCTGTGACTCTAACCACAGCTGACTGACAACAGATAACCATATTAACAAGCGACAAGCTTATCTGACAAATGGCTTTTCATCCAGTTTCTTGTTTATACTTTAAACATCCTGAGTCCTGTGAGTCATTTTGGTATGAACAATAGACTGGAGAGTGAAAACAGAGTGCTTATAGGGTTTTTACTGCTTTCTGCAGGAAAAAAGCCTCAAATGGTATCTTGTGCTTCTTATCTTCTCCTTTCCCCAAATAATGCTCCTCCATTTCTTCAATCCATTTTTACAGTCTTATTTCCATTTCTTCCCACTATACCACCTCACTCCAGTTCCTGTCTGGGCACTCCTCCAGATGCCTTGCAGTCTTAGGAACCCTTTACTTCCTCCTGGAACCAAGATATGTGAGTAGATGAGTATATCAATGAGCACTTAAATCCCTTTTTATAAGTACTTCTGCCCCCGCAGTATTCCTGCATAGTGACGATTCTGCATTCTCTGTGTTGCAAAATTCTCCTAGGTTTTGTCTGGAGGCTAAGATGGAGATGAAGACAACCTCTTCCCTCAGAAATAGTCAACAACGAGTTGAATACATTACTAGGGCTCTAGAGATGGGCTTTTTATTCAGTCCTTGAGCATTCCCTCTTCAATTCCCATTACCTTTCCAGACAACTCTACTTGTTGCTTTGGAGCTTTTTGCATCCGTAGGCTTCACATTTCCGGCAGCATTTAGCAGTGGTGAGTCCTTCAATGCTTGGGTGCATATTTTGACACATTTTTAAAAGACCCAGGGCTTCGAAGGGGCCTGGCGGCGGAGCAGGGCCGTGCCCGGGGGGGCGGGGGCGGCTCCTCCTGCCGGGAAGGTGCCGGGAAGGTGCCGGGAAGGTGCCGGTGGCCGCCCCGCTTCCTAATATCTGCCCTCCTTCAGTGACACCATTCCCTCCCTGCAGAACAAAAAACTCAACAAAACAAAGTAAAATGTAAGGGGAAAATTGGCAAAGCAAAGAACGATAGTGATTTTGCTAGGGGAAAAAAGGCATATTGTGTCTGCCAGAAAAGCAGACATTAAAATGGACAGAGAGTTTTAAATTCAAAGTGTATGTTAGTCTTGTTCCAATGCCAGTAGCCCAGGACAATGACATTGTATTTACTGTGGGAATGAATTCTATTAAAGTATTTCCAGAAAACAGCCCAAAAGGGGTTGTTTCTCAGCTGGTTCAGACTGAAGGGGCCTGTTCATTTCACTGAAAAGACACAGATTTACTTCAGTTCAGAAGCTGTTTTTCAGCTGCAGTAGCCAAGATATTCTAAAGCCTTTTATTTCTAGTTAACTTGTTAAAATAAATCTAACAAATAAGGAATGCAGGCAAAAGTCAAGTTAGACAAGCAAGTAGAAGCTGAATCTGTACATATAAATTTTAACAAATAAAAAGGGTTTCTGCTCATTATTTTTCAAAAGGCTGTGAATGTTTTTGCTGAAAAGCACATATTTGTGATGATTTTAAAATATTTGGTCTGAATTTCTGCATTTGTAAAAAATTTTAGTGACATTAACTTTCTCTTTTTCATTGCCTCCAAATATTAATCCTTAGTAATGGTAAATACAGCCTGCCACATTTGTTCAGTTAGCTCACTCCAAAAGTGCCTAAGTTTGAGCCTCACCCAATGTCTGTGGAAATCAGGGAATGTCTTTCCTCCAACATTATTAGCCTTTGTTTCAGATGGGAGTATCCCTTGACTTACAGTAACAGTCCAAAGACAAATCCAGTTTTCCATATGAAGTGCAGCAAAGGTATTGTTTGACTCCACTCCCTGAATTTACAGGGTGGATCAGCACTGCAGTGTATTAATCAACAGCTGTCTTTTCCATTCTTCACCCCAGAGGACAACTGAATTTTTTCCTACTCATAACTCCTTATCCAACTTGGGGATAGTTCAGCTCTCAGAGCCAGCAAATCATGAGTTTCATATACTGTACACAACAGTTTGGAGCAACTCATGCTATGTGGCAAAATTGCCTAAAAATTGTGCAGTGATGATTTCATGAGTTGTTATGCAGAGCCTGTTACACAGCACCTGGCTTTGTCACATCTGCTACTCTGCCTTGCAAAATGCATGTGTAAAAAATGGTCTTAAGGTTTTTATATTAGGTATAATTACAGGAGAACTATTTTATTAGTCTGACAAATATGTTCGTCATCCATTTACCTCCAGTTTTATTTTGCCGCTTGCATCTGCGTTTTTCCCAAGGACACCATCCCTGGTTCAGGAAGTAATCAGGATTTCTGAACTCTTTCCAGTTCTATTCAAGGTTAATCCAAAGTGTTCATAGCTCATCAGAAAAGCATTGTTATGGAATATCGAAGTTTTCAGTCAGTTTATGGCACATAAAGGGAGCGATCTGTCTCATTTTGGCATACAGTTGGTTTTGGTTATCCGTGCTGATGACTAGCAAGCAGTGTTAGGCAGGCATCCAGAGAAAGAGCTGTACTCAAGTCCCAGTCCACAGGGAGGTACCAGAGCTGCTCTGCCTATTGTATGGAGATTTGAAATGAATTGTTTGGATGAGATTTGTGCTTAGGGAAGAAAGTCTTGTCCTAAGGTTAGACTTTTTTGGCAAGTTGAAACATTTTCTTTCCAATGCTTAAACAAGATGAGCAACTTTTTCATTTGGACTCAGGCTGTTTTCAAGAGGATTTTTACGTCAGTGGCATTTTTTTCCCCTTTATTTATTTATTCCCTGGTGCAAGCCTCACACCATATCCAAAATGGTTTACTTGTGTTTGGGCACTTACAGAATATTTGAATATAGTTTCCAGAAAAATTAACTTGTGCAGACAATATCCAGAGGCATCCATCCTGACTACCCATCTGACAAGAAACACTTTGGTCTTCATAAGAATATGTTAGCAACTTGCTTACACTTTGTGGTCTTGGTTTTACTCAAATATATATCCTATTTGCTTCTTGAGCCTCGAGTCTACATCTTGTCAACTTTTGACACTGCTGCAATAATGACCTGACCATGCTTTGTAGATGACCAAGAAGAGGATATTCATATGTCAGCCTTTTTCTTCTCACATAATGTGCTGATGAGGATTCAGGGAGAATTCCAGCTCTTCTTTCTAAGAAGGCTTTCATGCCACATTTCAGGACACATTTTTAGCAACTACAGTAAAAACGTACAAAAGTACTGGTTTATTCGAGCAAGATTAATTGTGGAGTCACAGCCTAAGACAACCAGTTTTGTTCAGCCCACTGTACTACTGGAACCCTGCCCTGAGAGGTGATGTTGTAATCCAAATGGTGTAGAGTAGGTATAGCTATTCTTCACCTCCTTGCTTTTGCTCACTGTTATGCTCTCTGCTTGTTTCCTCATGGCATATACTGCATTTAGTCATGCTGCCTGCCCAGGGCTTTTATTTTTTCCTTTTCAATAGCTCCAGTAACATGATGTTTCTTGTATGACCCTACAAATATTATTGATATCATATGC